GGCCGTGGGGGGGGGGGGGGGGCTATTTTGATATAATTGGATGACAAACTTCATCATTTAGCATTTTGCAAATATTGCCTGTTGTAAATGTGCAGGGTGTGTGGCTATGTCATTGAAAATTAGGTTGAAGTTGGAGGTCAGAAGGATACAACCTTGGCCATGTGCCTAATAAGACCCAGCTGTTCTCCGTGGTCTACTAACAGGCAGCATAAGTTGTGTCAAGTCCAGGGGACTTTTAGTGACCAAAGTTCATTCAATAACCTAACTGCAGTTAGCCCTCAAGGCACTTATAACAACTTGTGGAAATGACACATTATTTCTTCTGACAGTCTTAACCATTAGAAAAACAGTATTTTATTTTGGGACTGAAGGTGAGACAGTGAGGTATGAGAGTCCTGGAAGGTTGAAAGGTAGAAACAGGCCTGGAGGCAGGATTTTGCGCTAAGTCAGGCGGCAGCAGCCTGAACAGCAGCGAACATGGTGGCCACAGCGTCTGACAAGGCCACACCACAGAGCCGAGGCAGAGTGATAGATGTGTCTTAGTGCTGGTGGTTAGATAGTTCCTCTGGGAGGCAGCTGTGGCAGTTCTCCACCACATCAGAACCACCCTCTTCGGAGAAGCAGACGCTTCCTCCAATGCCTAGGAATACACTGGGGTATCTCAGAAGGGCAGGATGTACAACAAGGCAAACTTTCTCTAGTTTTGTGTTAGTGCCAAAATTCCCACCAACACAATTTCAGTGAAACAACTTTAGTTTATTCTATCTATCTTTGTTCTATCTTTGTTAGGACACTTGCACCAATCCTTTAAAGCTATTTTTTTTGAGTAGTCTTAAGTGTTTTGTTTGAAATTATTTTATATTTTATTTGTTTTTATATATATATAAATTTAGAATTTAGAAAGTATTTTACACTATGGCTGAATGTAGGGGGAGGTAGATTGTGTAACTTAATGGAGACAGAGGATTTGTTCATCTTTATCTTCATACTTGGAGGAGCTTCCTTTAAACAAAGCTTCATTTAAAACACAATAAAGGCCATCAATGACAGTTGTTAAGCGGCAGGAAATCCACGGCTCAGAGCTTAACACTCCTTTTGTAGAAATTGGATAGAAAAGTAGGAAATAATTTTCATTTAGCAACAGTGGATCCTGTGAGATTAGCAAAAAAGTACTGTATTTATAATCCATCCTATGTTCATTTAAATATTCAAATATTAAATAAAAACAAATAAAATGTAAAATAATTTCAAACAAAACACTTAGAATACTAAAAAAAAAAGATAGCTTTAAAGGATTGGTGCAAGTGTCCTAACAAAGATAGAACAAAGATAGGTAGAATAAACTAAAGTTGTTTCACTGAAATTGTGTTGGTGGGAATTTTGGCGCTAACACAAAACTAGAGACACTGCCTTGTACATCCTGCCCTTCTGAGCTACCCCAGTGTATTCCTAGGCATTGGAGGAAGCTTCTGCTTCTCCGAAGAGGGTGGTTCTGATGTGGTGGACTGCCACAGCCGCCTCCCTTCAGTCCCAAAATAAAACACTGTTTTTCTAATGGTTAAGACTGTCAGAAGAAATAATGTGTCATTTCCACAAGTTGTTATAAGTGCCTTGAGGGCTAACTGCAGTTAGATTATTGAATGAACTTTGGTCACTAAAAGTCCCCTGGACTTGACACAACTTCTGCTGCCTGTTAGTAGACCATGGAGAACAGCTGGGTCTTATCTCAGGCACATGGCCAAGGTTGTATCCTTCTGACCCCCCCC